TATCTTTCTATGTATATATATATATATACACATATATCTATAATGTCATAGGTCTCACTGAACATGAAAAGCTCTGGAGGACGGGCTTCGCGAGGCCGAGCCAAATGCCGCCCACCGCGCTCTCGTGGAGCTCGAAGACTTGGGCAAACTTCGGACGGCGCCTCGCCTCTGAGACTCTGAATATTGTAGAATAGAAGATGCGATATAGTACAGAAAAGTATACTAGAGGTATACTATACTGTACTTCAGTACAGAGAAAGTATGATCGAGTATTATACAATGTTATAATGTACTTCAGCCTTGAGATGGGTTCAGGTTTCATGCAAGGCTGCTGAAAGCGCACTCGACAGCCAAGGTCATAACGCAGACTCTTGGTTGCGCTGTGCGAGCTGTCAAGGCAGTCGAAATGTCAAGCCATCCGAGGAATATTGATTCTCTCCACCAGAGAGCCGGTTCCAAGAATGTCATCGAAATCCATGGCACCATGGCAACGGTAGCATCCTCGTTTTTAGCTTGCGTTGCGCAAGCTATTGCCGCGATGACTTGAGCCTGTTTGGAATGTAGGGCCGTCCCCGAACCCCAAGGCCACGTGCATGTCTTCACAGAAGCAGGCCGGCGTTGCCATACGCTCGCATCGATGTGTTGCATTCCATCAGCTGGCATCGCAGGTAACCCAAGCGGAGATCCTTCGCCGCTTGGCCAAAGCAGAGCCGAGGCCCTCGGCTCCGTATTTTCCTTGCCCCCAGCCAGGCCAATGGGTCGCAGCACGCGAAGGGAAGCCGGACGGCAGCCTACGTGCGGACATTGCATCCGTGCCGCTCCTGCACTGGGACGCCCGTGAGCTCTAGAGTCTGAGTGCTTGCTCTCTCTCTCTCTCTGTATCCCTCTGTCTCTGTTTCGCTCCATGTGTTTTCACTGGCACCGACCAGTGCATTTCTGTGATCCGTGCTACAATCCGTTCTAGCCCTCCTGAAGTGCACAGCTGCTCAGGACAACTGGTACCCCACCCATCCTGAAACAGGTGGTGTTCTCAAGCCGGACGTCACGAGCCTTGCCTCTTAGCAGCGTGGCGGTTCAAGGGCGCTTCGTTCCTGGCAGCCAAGGATGTTTGGGGAGGCCCTGCCGGCAGGGGCCCTGGGCCGCTCCTGGAGGGCCGTCCTCAGCTCGCCGGTCTGCTTGGTGGTGGGGACGGGCCTCAACGTCGGCTCCTCGAACCCACTCACAGTGTGAGCCCGGTGAGCCCTACCCTTCAAGTGCTTCTCAAGCATACAAAGCAAGGTCATGCCGGCCAACATGGTACCAGGACTGGTAAAGTGGCGCTGGGGGAAGTACTCGCCCCAGACAGACAGTTTAGTACTGAGCTTCGGCAGGAGCCGTGTTTGCCTGTATCCGGCGTGTTTTGCGAGGCTGATAATCCTGAATCTGGACCATTCAGGGTCCTCGAGCGCCAAAGCCCTAGCACCTCAGAATGCGTACTCCTTTGTGCTCGAGTGCCAGTGTGCAGTGAGGCCGATGTTTTCTTGCAAGGCTCGGGATGATCACTTAATGACGTAGTGTTTGTCAGAGTTTAAAGTCCAGAGCTCCTTTGTCCCCGGAGGCAGGGCCGGAGAGGTGCTGCCTCGGCTCGTCGACAAAGTGAGACAGCGACTAGCTTGAGGAAGTTTCAAGCGTAACAACATGCGCAAGCTCAAGTCGGGGGCCAGCCCGATGGCAGAAAGCCGATCGTGGTCTACCCCGGTTGTCTGTTGCAGAGCTTGGCAGAAGCCCAGGCCCACGGACCGAAGAGCCATGATGCTCCCGACAGATCAACAAAAGTCAAGAGTCTCTCTTCACTCTTTAAATAAGGCGAAGAGGTTCCTGCAGAAATGTAGCCGAGAGCCGAGGTCTGTGCAGCCGTTGCCTGCGGCGATGCGATCTACGCAATAGGAGGCCTACGTGCACCGATCAGACGGTGTCAAACTGTCAAACCACGCAAGCGCACGCAAGCGCATGGAGCAGCGCCTGCACACTTGGAGCCGAGGGCGCGGCGTAGATGGAGAATCACTTGACAGCGTGCGCGTCTCAGAGTCTCAGATGAGAGCGTCAAGGGCAAATAATCCCTCGAGACCTCGATGCCTCTCAGGTCTCGGGAAAGACATATGTGTTGTAGACTTGAAGAGCTACGGCCTGCTACGGCCGTGGCGCGCACCACACGATCGAAGTATCGGAGACCGTGAGGTGGAGTGCTACTACCCTGCCAAGGATGTCTGGGTACCGGTCCGGGACTGAGGCGGAAAGGCCAAGCGGCCAAAGTGCTCAGAAGCCTCGAGGCTCCGCCTCTGAAGAGCTGCAGCGGCTGGCTGGCGGCCTCTCAGCTCAAAGTAGTCTCAGAGGCTTCGTTTAAAGAGTCTGCTCTGAGGCCACCGGTGCCTGGGGAGGAGTTTGTGTGGCTGGCGGCGATCGGGATGTCGTCCCCCTGGACTTTGCACAGGCCGAAGGTCCGAGATTCCTCGCATCGACGGGTACCGAGGAAGCAAACCTCGACTACCTTGACGCCGTAGAGCTCTTCCAGCCATCTTTGCGCTGCTGGATTCCACTGCCGCCGTCTGGATCCCAGTGGAAGGTGCACGCAGTCCGTTGGAGGTTTGCATATGGCACATATGTTTCCTCCCTTGAGCGATGATTTTCGCACAAGAAGGGTGGCTCGCGAAGGGGTCTGTTGAGGATGGGCACAGCGCGGTGGGCATCAGCGGCAGCCTTCACGGCATCCGCGGCGCCTTTCACAGAGGGCGCAGCCTTCGTGGCTGGAGGCTACGGCCGCGGCGAGAAGTTCGGCGAGAAGGCTCTGTACTCGCTCCTCGTTTGTTGCTTTCAGGCGTTATTTTGAAGGTGCTTTCCAGCGTGGAATGTCTCGCCTTGGGCTCGAAGGGGTCCCAAACTCAGATCTGAATCTGTGCATCAGACACTGTCCGATGCATGGATTGCGAAGATTCGAAGGTGGCGGAGACTGCCCTGCCTGCCCAGCCCCAGAGCAGCCCATGCCATGTCTGCGCCGCACACCTGGAAGCGTAGCGGCTGATTGTACTTCGTGAAGTGTATGAGAGCCATTACAAGGGTTGCGGGCAAGCTCTATGTGGCGGGCGGCCTTGGTCTCGAGGCGCCGAAAACACCAGATTGTTGTCTGGGTATTATCGCTCAACTCACCGCGCTGTTGACCTGTGGATTGCAGGTTCTTCAGAGCGACTCCCCAGCCAGACAAGATAGAGTGCCCTGGAACGTACTCTACTATCTACAAGATGTCCTAAGTAAGACCCTGCTGGCTGAGCCACAAGCGAGAACAGGAACGTGAAATGATGCTGTTACAGAGGCACTTACCATGCGTACAAAAGTGCCAGGACCAGCCCTTGTACTCCGTGGAGCGCTTCGATCTTCACCTGGGCCACTGGGAGGTGGGCGGAAATGACGGGGACAGACAATGCTCTCCCGACTTGGGAGAAGCGTAGAGTGCTTTCAAGAGTTGCAAACCCCACCAAAGCAACCAGAACGGTCGTTGAGCCATTGGCTGATCAAGACAAATCAGACATGTTGCAACCTTGAGGTATTGGGTGCAGAGTTCGTGAAGCTTGAGTCGGGGCTTGAGACGTTGCTCTCCCAAACTGTAGTATTAGCCCACGCAGCTGTCACGTGCTTGCCACTTTGGTTTCCGTGGTGTATGCCATGGAAAGCCCGGAATGCTGCGTGCATGGGCAGCATCATCCTCAGCATGCCTTGGTTTTGAGGGCTGGAGGATCGGTGCTTTGAAACTCTGACTGACTTTGAGGTGCGTCTGTGGTGCCGCTGCCACTGAGTCGCAATAAAATTTTGCGGACTTGAACCATCAAACCTACAGAACTGGACACTGCATGCCCCAAACCAAGAAGAAAGGGCACGACATGCTGGTGCAAAGTAGCCCATGTACTTCAGGAGCCAGAGCGATGGAGAGGCTGGAGACGGAGAGGCATCCAGCATGTGCATTTCATGAATCCCATTGATTGACGCAGAATCCTGATATATCCAGAGGATCTGGTACTTGGACTTGAACTTACGAGCCTTTTAAGACTCTTAACGCTGGCATCACTGTGGTTTTCCACCGCTTCCGTGCATTGCCTGTGCATGTGGTCTGTCCAGGTCTTTCTTTTGGGAGCGAGGGGTTACCTTTTGTACTTTCGTGCTCCTTCTTATCATGCAAGGCCGTCGAAGCTGACGTCGTCAATGCTGTCAGACAGCAGGCCCGCCCGGCCGCCCGCCTTTACATACACGGTCTTTCTGCATGCCTCAGCACGTCAAGTGCGAGTAACAATGCTTCAGGTGCTACCCGCAAAGCGTTGTCTCACGTTCAGTATCCGTCTCGAACTAGTTCGTCCTCAGCAGCATGACCATGCTGTTGAGGCAGTACATCGCGAGAGAAAGTCACTGTATGTCTCGCAGTAGACAAACCATGTTTTCAGAAAAAAGCCACCGGCTCTGCCTGAGCGGGGAGCTCTTGTGAAGCTCCGGGTTGGAGCACTGAAGATCACTGAAGCTTCTAGATTCTAGGCGAGGTACTTGTGGCTCTTGTTTCTGGATACTTCCTTGCTTTGGGGTTCGAAGTCCTCAACTGTCATGTCAGGAGCTGGAGAAGAGCAAAACCGCCGCCGGCAAAGCCGAGGCCGGCTGCATGGTCTTCGCAGACCGAAGGCTCAGTATACTCTAGGTGTATTATGATGATAAGGAACCATCAAAATAGGATTGCTAAATCTTGAGGCTCCTATAGTATAGAATATCGGGATCCCTGGCAAGGAGAATCGGCCTGGTGATCCGAAGCGCGACGCTGATGGAAAGTTGTGCTTTGATGCCCTGGATGCTTTGTGCTCGTGCCATGTGAGGCAGAGAAAAACGGCGGCGGCTCTTCGGCAAAGATCCAAACTGCTTTACCTCACAGGTTTTCATAGTCAAAGAGTCATAGAGCAGCCAAGGCCAAGGCTGCCCCCAAAACTTGCCTTGGAAGGCGCCCCGGCTCACAGCGGATTTTCTTCGCAGTTCGGCGCTTGGCGCAGGGCCTGGCGGGGTCTCTTTGACCTGGTGCTGCAGCCGCCCCCGCTGGTGGAGATGATCTGGCCGGGGCCCAAACAGTGACAGCAAGAGCAGAAGCTTTGGGAGATACGAGCGGCCCATTTTGGCGAAGCTGCGAACACGTAGGTTAAAATTGGAAATGCAAGGCAAGCAAAATGAAGCCTGCGTCTCCAGTGACTTGAGAAGTGTCATCTAGCAGTCTGAAGGAAGTTGCTGCTGACGGTCCTGCTGTACAGCTTGGCCATGGCGTTTGCCGCTGGTCTGAGAAAAGATCTGGCTTCGGTTTCTATGGTGCTGAGGAAAATCACTTGTCAATCTGTCAATCAGGGCTCAGCAGGGACCCCAAGGGCGTCGGACTCTCTCTACCGAGCGAATGAGGTCATACAGCGGCTAGTGCTGATGGGCAGCGCCAGTGAGCTTCAAGCTTTGTACCAGGTGACGGGGTAGGTTCAATGTTGAACACTACGACGAATATTGCATTGATTCCAACTCTGCGCATGCACGTCCAATCTGACCTCGCTTCTGCAGGGGTGCAACCACTAGAATTGCCCCATACTGGTCCATACTGCCCTGCGAGGCTTCAGGGACAATCACAAGCTCTCCACATCTACGAATCGAGCTGACAGCCTGCGTCATGCAGATTTCCGTGGTTTCTGGCACGTGACCTTCTTGCATTGACTGAGGGCTTGCATTTTGTTGCAAGTGACGATTCTCGATACCGTAAGGTCCGTGCGTCTAGCCGACCGAACCATTGGGCAGGGTTCGTTCTTTGATGCAGCCTCCTCCAAGGCAGGGCTTGACCCGGAAGTTACATGACGTGCTGGAGGATCAAAGAAGACAGATGTAAGATCAAATCGTAGCAACGATCCCGTACCGGCCAGGTGTCACTTGTGGACACAGGCAGCTGTCTCCTAGTGAGCTGCCTTGGACCTGCCTCGGAGCCTGGATTCCAGGTGTTGGCTCACCTGCAACTTGCAAAAAGATGGAGCAAGCGGGAACACGCCTAACTTTGGTGCCTGCAGCATGTGATTCCATCGAAAAGCATCTCAGAATCTCAGGCAGGTGGGCTCTGAAGATGCTTGTCTGCACAAGCCAGCCTCAAAAAGACTGATCATCTGCAAGTCTGCGCCCAGGCCAATCTTTCTTTTACTTCGGTCCACCTCCTTCCCGGGGACAGAAGCTCGTTGCTACTGGCCGGTGCGAACAGCAGCGTTTTTGGCGGCTTCGGCAGCAGCGAGTCAGCGTCCAGGGTAGTGGAGCAAATGGAGCATCTTGAGCTCAGGTGAGAACTTCTCTGTGGCACGGAGCTTAAAGCTTTATCTTCGCTCCACAGCTACGGACGCTGCAAGTACCTCTGTGCACTGCCGCGCTGGTCTGTATGCAGACCTGCCAGCTCTCTGATCAGTTTTTGTCAGCCTCCGCAACTGTTGTGTTGTGCAGCAACAGGTGGGGCAGCTTGGCTTGGTGCAGCTGGAGTACTTTCGCGCACCAAAGTTTTTCGCCACGCTGCGGAATGGGCTTCTAGATGTCAGGCGTGACTTTCAAGATTGGCAACCCACAGTAAGCGCGGTTGACGAAATGGCTGGCCAGGTATCCACAAGTATCAGCTGCAGTGCTGGATGTTGGAGGTGCCGCAGCCAGTGCCCAAGAGCCCGCAATCAACCTTGGCTTGTAACTTTGCAGTGGGACATTGTTCGCATGTTCTGCTCAGTTTGGAACTGCTGCAATGTTGCCAGAGAGCAGCTTGAGTTTCGTCCCTAATCCGTGGGTCCCTCATGTCTTTCTACTTTGTGTGTCTTAAATCCCACAGCCTACGAAGGACAGGGTTAATAACTATGCCGTCAAACGCAGCCAGAGGCTGTGCTGCGCAAGGCATCGGAGACACGTCAAGCGATGCGGTCTGAACGGGTTCAGAATGCGGCAGACAGGCCGAAAGCAGAGGCAGTGCCCATGCCGGAGGCTGCAGCAAGGACCCGTATAAGGCCCAAACAGACGAAAGCAAAGACCAAAGCCAAGGCGAGTGCAAAAAGCATTCCCGCCTGCGAACCTGAGTCTGCCCAAACCGACGCGTTGTCCAGTGAGTCTAGTTCCCCTTTTTGGCCGAGTTCCCCTTTTTGGCGACCGTGCTTCTGCGTGCCACGCCACCTGAGACGGCCCACGAAATCTTTTTGCGGCCTTCGATACACAACGTCGTACAGCCTGCAGCCGTCATGGCACAGCTTAAGAGAATGAGTGCTACCTGCTTCAAATCGGTAGTCGTTGCGGCCAAGAGTCCCAGAATTTCCTGCAGACGGTGCATCTGCCATCTGCCTGCAGGTCTCTCTTCGAATCGGCACGGAGAGCTCCGTGCGACTTCTCCTCGTGCTTTCCCAAGGCTTTTCAGGTCTCAACGGGGCTGTGACCTGACGTAATCGGATGCCATCAGCTTTCGACTCCCTAGAAAACCAAGGCTAAAAGCTCAGAGCTGACGGCCGGCACACCGATCGTTTCGTCCTGAGCCACCACTGCAGGCAAGTGCGATGCCGAGAGAGAGACAGTGCTTCCGATGTGATCTTAGGATAGCACATGCTTGTCGGATGCGGCCGGTGTGCCGACTTGGAATGACACTTGCCATGACTGGAAATACACTATTGCACGCTCCTTCCACCTGTTGGGACAAGGAGACCGCCGGGGACGTCTCTTTGGGAGATGATCCGAACCCTCCTGAGTTCAGGACTCTCAGCTGAAGTGTCCCACAGCGACTCCACCCGGCTCACTCTATGCCATATCAGGATCCTTCGTGGAGCCGGTGGTAGCCTTGGAGCGCTTTTCGCGTCGCGGGGTGTGTTGCAGCATGCTCCTCGGATTCCCAGTGTCGACCCTGCACAAAGGAGCTTGGCTCCCCTTTGAACGTTCCACAAGATCCGAGGAGCGCATGGCTGAAGTGAACACCCGGGACTCCATGGGCACAGCAGGGTTCCAGGCCCGGGAAGCTCCATGAGGGCGAAGACATCGAGAGAGGGACACCCGAGAACTCTGCTGGTCAGGCAGAAAGCGACTTCACGGTCTGGGCATCTCAGAGGCAGGGGACGGATTGTGATTCTGTGACACCCGACCGGTGCGCCGCTTGACGAGATTTACTGAAGCCGCAGGGCCAAGGCGGGTGCTCAAGTTCTCCGCTTGCGTGTGGTAGCTCCTGGTTTTGACGACGACCTCGGCCGCTCGGCGAGAAGTGCTGAGACTTGGAAGTCAAGCGGCCCCACCTATGGCGTGACACCGGCATCGGCCGAGGCAGCATTAACGCAAGATCGGCTTCTGTGCTGCAGTGCTATTGACTGCTAGTGTTTGTGAGACATCAGGCACGTCGAGGAACAAGCATGACAGGAGCCATGTGTCATTGCTGTTGCAGCTGCATCTGCATCTCTCAAGTTTGCCAAGACCTTTCCTTTGAGAGGACACCCAAGACAATTTTAGCTGACCCTTCCAAGGGCTGGAGCGAGGGGCAGTGCTCGGTCCGAGGAATGGCTTTACTCTGCGTACGGCAATGTCTATATCTGGCATCCGCTGAGTGCCTTCTACTTAGCGACATTGAGCATCTTCACGCCAATCGTGAGCCGGACTGATGTGGCCCGGCATGAAAGATTTAGCAAGGCTTGATGCGCGGTGTTAGGGCTTGCTCCCATGCACAGATGCTGCTCCCACAGCGCACGTTGCAGGAAGAGCTTCAGTAATTTCAGGACCTAGCACGTGCTGGCATAGCCCACTCAAGAGCTCTGTTCTTCAACTCGTGAGCTTCTAGAACCGACTTGTACATGTTAATGGTGCTGCCTGTCTCACTTATTTAAGCAGGCCAGGTCCAGTGCAGAAGGACAGACCCCCCCAAGCTTGGAGCTGGTCCCCAAACCCTACGCTCTGGTGCCCTGAACCCCAATTCGGCCTAGCCCCGAACCCAAACCCCTCAAGCCCTAAATTAGAGCTGGAGGACACTTTCCTCCCCTGAGAACTTTGCCGCAAGCACCCCAGAGCCCTAAATCCCTAAGCCGCAGAGACTGGCGAGGTGGTTCTCACGTCGACGCAATGTACGCCACGGGTTGCGCAGCTTGGCATCATGCGGCTAAGCTCTTATCTCCTGGTCAAGGTAATCGTATCATATCATATCAGGCGCTTCCCAGCCGATCCTCATTGAAGCCGCGTTGTGGACTTCTGAGAAACTGACAGACTTGTCTTCTGAGGCTGGTGTCGCCGGGCGATTCTTGCATGCCGGACTCTGCAAGGCACTCCGATTAAAGCTTCATATGCACCTCGCTGCGCAAAAAATCGCCCTGCCAATCTCACCAAAGCACGCCGTCAAATTCACTTTGCGGATGTGAGATTGCATGACAATCCAGCACCTCTGTATTTTGCGATGTGTTGCTGTCTTGTACTGTAGTAGTAGCATCCCACGCAGATACAACAAGGCTTTGGCAGCAAGCGCTTGCGCAGGTACGGCAGCTACGGCACGGATGCGCTTGGTGGCACTCACATGGCGCTCGGGCAAGCGCTGCCCGAGGCGGCTCGCTGCGGTCTCTGCACGGTCCGTCTCCCAGCATCGTCTGGCCCGGACCTTTTCCTGACAGGTCCTGAGCTTCAGCAACCGCACGGCCAGCAGGATCTACCAGCTGCGCCTTGGAGTCTGAGGCGAGTATTTGACCTGGGCAATGTTGGGCTCCTTCGGCCTGGGTGCCTGGCGCTTCCTCAGAGCCGAGGCGCTCCACAACGACGGTGGCTCCTTTTCTGCCGAGCATCGCTGATGCTGTCGCTGCTTGGCTTAGAAGCAGAGTTTTATTGTTATGCCGTCTCAGTTCAACCGCCCAGGTCTCAGAGTTCCAGTACAGTGGCCAGTCGGGACAGACTTCTGCACTTCTAGTCGAGCATAAGCCCCTGGTTGAAAGCCAGCTTGCAAGGAGTCAACAGCATGCTAACCCTGAACTCTGTTGGCGACCGTGGAAACTTCATGGATTTGCGAAGCCAAGCTTTTGTGCCTATCTCAGTCCTGCAGTGTTCGGCCCGTTCAGCTTGGGCGCAAGCCTTCAGAGGCGACGATTGCCGTCATCGTGTGCCTGGTCTTGCCATTTTTCATCACGATCCTGGGCTACAGGCCCGATACACAACGATCTCGGGCACATGCATTCACAGCCCGACACAATCGGTACGGTGAGCGTGTCTTCAGCACCCCCAACGAGGTTCTATCAGACCGAGAAAGCCAAGATCCTGGCCGCAGACGGTTGGCGCATTTGGCCCATCTTGTGGCAGGCTCGGCGGTGGGCATTTTCGGTGATGTCTGCCTTTGGCTCCGGAGATCGAAGGCGAAGCAGAAGGCCATGGAAGAGGCAGCACACTTCGTGGCTGAAGTTCGAGCCCAAGAGAGGAGGGGTTTTGGGGGAGGGCAGCTCCCCCCCAAAAGCCGCAGCCGGAGCCCGCCGGAGGCCGAAGCCGCAGAGCCGGAACCTTCAGAGCAAGGCCCAGGCCGAGGCCCGGAGCAGTTAGAGGCCGGGGCTCCAAAGAACCGGAAGGGGCCGCTTGGAAGCATCCCAAGATCATCCAAGCGCATGCTTGGGGGGCAGGTTTTGGAGGTTTTTGATCCTGAGATTTTCTGAGCTTCCCTCTCCGAGGCCGGAAGCGGTGCGAGAGAACCTCTTGTCCATTCTTGCAAAGTTTGTCGGGGCCTCTTGAGCTCAGACCCCCTGCCGCCCGCATCTCCTGCGCTCTTCCAGGCCTCGGAGAGCCTCACCTCCATCGCAGACGGAGTGCAGGAGGCCACGAAGGTCTCACAGGGGCACAGCAAGACACTGCAGGCTGCGGTGTCAGGTCGTGGACCAAGTCGTCGATTTTGAGATGTCCGAAGCAGAGAAGGATCTCTACAGCCGAGCGGAAGGATTACTTGGCCAGGGCCCGACAAACGGCTCAAGGAAGCTCTGTCACTTGCCGGTTAGTGCGGCAGCTGTGAGGCAGGAGTGCCAATCTCCTAACCTTCGTGGAGTGTGTCGTCTTTCGCCGTGTGGGCAGCCCCTCGCCCGACTAGAATCGAGAACTGTCGCTCGGCTCGGGTGCCTTCATGCATGGTTTGTGTATGTCCGCCACAGGCTTGTCATTCTACTCTGATGGCCTCGTTTACGCTTCCCTGCACTTCGGCCGCAATCGGCCATGAGACGCAACTTCTCCGATGGCCCTGGCCAAGTTTCAAGGCTAGTCATTCTCCACTTTGGCATTTTGCAAGTCCTCATGGTACCTGCAGACGCTCGGCACGGCAAAGGAAGGTGATGTTCGGATATGTTCGGTCAAAGATCTGATCTGCCTTCCGGCAGAGTCGGCTGACACAGGGCTCTGCCGTCTTTAGGTCCTCCTCACAAGTTGGCGGCGCATACTCCGACATGCTGCAATGCTAATGCTAAACTCTTATGATCTTTATGCTCTGACAAGATTGAAAGTCTTGGAAGCCTCCAGGCGGCGATTTTCTTGGTGAACTCCTACAACATCACGGACTATCAAGGGGTGCGCGGACTGTTCAACTTGATAGGAGGGCGATGATCTCCGACAGGGTCAGATCATGGGTCCAAGAACGAATGAGGTCTACTTCCTTTCGTCGCTGTTGCTTGGGGCAGGGTCCCCAGCTCCTCGACATTCACGCGCAAACCCAACTTCACGTCTTGGCGGAAAGGAGTTGAACTCAAGCCATCCGCTCTCACAAGCAGGCTCATTCTTGCTTGAGCTGGAAAGCACGATTCGGATTGTGCCCAGTGTCGCCTCGGTGCTCACATTCAGCTTCTGCAGGCTGGATCATCATTCTCACGACAGAAGTCTTCATGTGGCCAGGCTGCAGCAATCCGTCTCTGCGTTTGAGGGACAGCACGGAGTGCTCAGACAAGTTCAGTTGGTAACTGGGCAGCCGAGGCTCTTCTACACAATAGTGGAGTATTTGTGCCGGCATATCGATCAGGCAAGCTGAAGATACCATTCATTTTTCTGACAACAACTGAGAGACCTGCAGGGCCTTGGAATGCCTTGGACAGTTGCAGGTCATACTTACACAGACGCAGCTGGCAGCCGGACGCCTTTCAGTTCATCGACGTCGACTGTGTCTTTACGAAAAAGCAGTAGTGCAGTGGGTGCCGCAGATGGCCATCGCTTTTGGGTCTTCGGGACGAAGCTGAGGCTGAATCTTCGGGCAAGCCGCTTGTTCCGTGACCCGGACAAAATCTTTTCGTGTGTTGGATTTTCTGGCCAGCCTGGAGTTAACAGATTGCGGGCGTCGCTTGCACAGGTGACAACATGTTTTTCCTGCTCCTGATCTTCTTGCACATTGGAATAACGCTGGGTTCCTCGTCCTAGCTACATGTTTCGGGCCTGACTCCATTGCAGCCGCAGGGATGTATTTCAATATTGCAGCTCGCTTTTAAGAAATGACATTTCTGTGATACTAATACAGTCCGTCCAGCTACTTTTGTGCCGACGGCACTCAGGAATTGCATTCTCACTCTACTTGCTGTTGGGTGCCTGCGTCACCCCCGAGACAGTGGCACCCGTCCTTATCGGGCTGATCGCCACGCTACTCGGGTTGAACACTGGACCAACATAGGTGCACCATGTTGGAGCTTCGAGCACTGGCCGTGAAGGGACACTAGCAGACTTGCAGCCTGCAGGATTTATGTTGGAAGGCGCACGGCAGAGTTGCCTGGCAGAGGTTAAACAGGCCAACCATATCCAGTACTGCATCAGTACAGGATTCGCCTTCCGACAAATGCTCAGCTTGATCCGGTCAGGCTTGTGTTCTCCTCTTCGCGGAGTCTTCAAGCCCAGCTCATGCTCGCAACTTAGACTCTGATGCTGGCTTGCGACATGCGAGGTATCCAAGTAGTGTCGGAGCAGTCTGCATTTCGCAGGCTGGGGAAATAGGGAGGCTTCCGGGACCTAGGCTGATGGAGAAGTTCAATCTAGTCTGCAGCGCCGAAGCTAGAGCAGGGGATTGCCCGGCTTGGGATTCACAACACTGCTAGGAACGCGGCATCCGGCATGCAGTCGGACGCATCTACCGTGGGGGAGGCCGGATCCATGGGAAAGTATACGATACTTGCAATAATAACGAATAAGGAACCCTAAAAGGTCCTAAAGGTCTACGATTTCCTATTCTAAGTGTTGCCCCAGTATGACCTGCACTGCAAACAGGCCCTTGAGGAGACCTTGACCGAGCTTGGCATCTCGCAGAAGAGATGAGAGACCTCGTTTCGTAGATTCTCCCGCCCCCGGCAACTCTGTCTGGAATGTGAGTGCCGAGGATTGAACGATGCGCAAGTTTTACTCTTCTCGCTGGTGATCACTGGAGTCTCGCTTGCATAAGAGCCCACACCCTGTCCTGGAGATGCGGCGCAGTTGCAGCGTTTGCAGTTAGAGTCACGTGTAATTCTGTTTAAGTGGCCAGGTTTAGCTGCGCAATTTAGGCACCTTCGCCTGTGCGGTGGCCTTCGTCTTGCTGGGCAGCTGCTTGGCAACTTACGAACGGGCTGCCATGGCCCCCATGGCTTTTGCAGTCCGTTGCCTCTGCCAGAGCCGAGGCTCTCTTTTCATTACTGCAGATTCCATCGCCCCTGCATTGATCTCTGGGCTGGCGACGGTCACCGGAGCGCTTTTGCTAAAGACAAGCCTAAGTAGACTGACTCTGACTCTCTGTTTGATACTGTGCGATTGATGCTCCCCTTCTCCAAGGCACTGGCAGCCGCACGAGGGGGTGCTGGTGCTGAGGACGGGAGGGGGACTCTGCGCAGGGACTGCGCGCACGTTGCTGTGCATGTGTGCGGCGCACGTCAGCCTGTGGTCAGGACACGCTCATGAAGTTTGAGGCTCTGAAGAACTTCAATGCCAAAGTGCAGGAGGCGCAGCACCGCTTCAGCGCACCTCGCGTGCCCTTCCATTTCATGCAAGAGCAGGTTCAGAAGTTCTCTCAGCAGGCTAATGACGTGCAGAGCTCGACAGGGGTTAGGACGGCTGGGATCGCTGTGCCATGCGAAAGACTAGTTTTGCTTCCGGATTATTGTGCCCTGACTTATGTTCGAGTGCATGGCTTCCGCTGAGTGGACCCGTGTTGCGGCTTCTAAGCCTGAGGCCGCCCAAGCGGCCAAAGATGCGACAAAGCAGGCGGTGGAAGGCCGGGATCGCTGGGAGTCCGAGAGTGGATTTCCCGAATTACACTCTGAAGCTGAAGTGCCACGCTGCCAGGTGCGCAGGCTGCCAAAACGACAGTCGTCACACCGACAACGCCAATCGCAGGAGACCTGTGCATGCTGGGTTTCGTTAAAAGCAGAGTCGAGCACCTCGAGCCTACCTGCAATATCGTGCAGTATGTGCAGAATCTATGCTTCGCACATCTTCGCACGCACTTACTGGTAGAGGCTCTCAGCAGTCTCTGAGACACGCAAATATGTCCTTGAGTGACATGCCATGTAGTACTACAGCTTGTTTTAGTACGGTAGCTTTTGCTGTCGATCTAGCTCGTTCTGAATGCAACAGCTCGAGCCATGCGGAAGTCGGTTGCATGCATCGGCTGGGCGAATGCCAGTCAACGCGCTGCGACCATGAACCCTCCTGTGGATCTCTGACTTCTTTGGCACCATGGACCAGAATTCATCGGAGGATCTTGTCGAGCAGAGGACCCGGCGCGAGATGACAGCGTCAGTGCTTCAGTCTGCACACGCATGCAGGCACTCCTGGCTTCAATGTGCAATTTGTGCAGGATCTCCAACATGCGGAGATGCACTGCCCACTTGCGTGATCTGACACTTCTCCGTGGCACGACATCCGCCGTGCTCCTGAACAGCTTCGGCCACGTTATGAAGTCAACGACGGGCGGCACAGGCACTGTTAGCGAAGGCACCTTGGGCGGCTTTGGACATCGTTGCACCAGTCACTAGTCAGTCGCTTATCAATGAAACAGTGTCACCAGGCGAGAATGACTACGACAAGAGCTATGTCGTCAGTGAGCTGGACATTTTCTTATCGCACAGCGGCTCGACAGGACTTCTACAGCTCCAGTTTGCTTAACGAAGACTGAGTGCAAAGCGTTCCGAACGGTTTGAAAGCCGTGAACATCAGTAGGATATATCCCGAACTTTATTGTTTTCAGGTTGGCATGCTTGCTGGTGGCAGAAGTACCTGACTCTGCTGTACTACTTCAATGCCTTGCCCGCGACGATGAGCGTCTGCCAGCTCCCAGTTCAGAACAACTTCCTCTCTTTTCAGAAATCTGGGTACTCGTAGCTTGTTTTGGGCAGGACGCCACTTGCAGCAGCCGCAGCACACCAGCGCCGGGTTTCGAAACCATGCTCCTGCGAGGCCGTGGCAGCGGGATTGATGTGGTGCGCGCTGCAGTATCGCATCGGATGTGTTGGGGTGCTCAGCTGGCGGGGCTTCTTTCCGAGTTCGATCTTGTTCTTCATCGTGTTGCCCCATGGCAGAGCGTGCGTAAACAGAGCATTTGCTTTTTGGTGCTTGTCTGTAGTACGACGAGGTGCTTGTTGATAGACACGCGATGCGATCCAAGGTTCTCTTGGCATCATGTTCGAGCATTTTTGGAATCGTACAGAGTTTCCATCTTCCTCGACAAGGTCTGTATCCATCAGAAAGACGAACAAAGGACCGCTGCTTCCGATCCTATTTCCAGGGCGATCTACACCGTGCCACACTAGAGCAATGGTTGCTTGTGGAGATTAAGCTTAAACCTCTTCGCAAAGCATCTACATCAAGTCCACCTTTACAGCATCGATAAACATCCGTACGCCTATGTAAGCCTGAAACTTCTGCACAATCGACAAAGTCAACCCTTCGGAAAATCGCAAGTTTGGCAGATTCGTGGTCATGACTCGCATGTTTTACCTGAATCCTGCAGTCATTTCCAGCGGTGGATGAGACCACTGCCGATTGTAGCTGGCGGGGCCTCTGGGGGGCTTGTTGGGCTTTGTGTTCAGGTTGCCAGGGAGGTTTTCTTTTCTGACTCTGTCATTAGGATCCCTCCTGAACCTGAGCTCTTCCCTGTCCTTCCTGGAGAAACCTCTTCAGGGTCCTCGCTTGCGATACATCTCGATTGGACTTCTTTCCTGCTAGGGATCTTTGTGGGAGTCCTCATTTGGCCCCTGTTGGACTTGGCCTTCTTGGCCCGGCTGCTTGTGTCAGGGTCATTTCGGAGGCCACCTTCTGGGCTTTATCGCCTCCTTGAATGAGTGACAGGGGCTCTGAGCTTCGGTCGCTTCGCCAGGAAATCACTGCTGTCCGAGTTTTGCTAGAGAAGCTCGAGGCCCGAGTATCTGCCCTGGAAGAGGAGGATAGGTTCGAGGTTGTTTATCACGAGGCTCTTGCCCCCCCCTTCTGAGCTCCCCGGATCAGGTGGAGTTAATCTCTCCCGGGGCGCTTCAGATACTTCCTCACATCCTCGGCCCGGCGCTGGGGTGAATCCCACCCGGGCGCCATCTTCTTCCCCTCAGCCTGGTTCAGGAGGAGTGCAGCTCTCCCAGGCTTCCGCTCCCATTTCATCCTCTACCCCTGACGGGTCTTGCGCTGCTCGTCCCGGCGGACCCAACTCCGCCTTCCGTACTGAGGTGGCTGAGAGCGCTTCTTGCGCCGAGCATTGGACGGGGCCTACCGAGGCTCTTCTGGACGGGATCAGTTGAGTTTAGCTTCCCGTTACTACATAGTTCTTGCTGACTTTGAGAGCAACACCCCAGAGGAGAACTAAAGCCCCGATGTTCAGAAACACATGAAGCGTGTGCAGGAGAAAGCACCCGCGATCGAGTCCCGAAGCTTTCGCCTCGATCGCCTTTTCGACTTCTTTCGCTCGCCCCTCGTCTCGACGCCATGTCAGCTGCTGACTCCTTCGCCGACTTCTTGGCCTCCGGGCCTTACTTGGGTGGAGTCCTCTACTTAGTCGGCGCCTATGGCATCGGCACTGGAGAGCCGGCGCCTGCCCGCAGCCTTCGCCTCCTCGCTGCGGCGGCCATGCCTTGGGGCTTGCCTGTGGGCCATCTCCGTCCAGATGGATCCTCTCTGGCAATTTCGTCGACGATTTCAAAGGCTCCGACGAGACCTCCTCGCGCTTGTCGCGCTGCCACCCAATGCTTCCAAAGCCCAGATATTTCAGATCGATGGAATGTCATTACATCTGACAATATTTTGCTAAAGTACATGATGCTTGATGAATGCAATGTACCGAGCATGTTGTCCAGGGCGTCTTGGTTCAGATCGCCATGCTCGACTAGTGGCGTGGTCGCAACCACACGGCCCGGCGGTGCGCGGGGGTATCCTGGTCCTCTACGCCGACGCCTTCTTCCTGGACGGCCATATTCGGAAGAAGGTCGGCCACCCCGCCCTCGTTGTCCTGGGCGACCACGCCTTCTTCGATTAGTGACTAGGGCGTGGTCCGGCTGGACACTTGGAGTTCTTCGCCGTCGCCCAGGCGTTGCGCTTCGTCAATTTAGGCAAGGGGATCCGACGTCATCGAGCTGAGCCGCCTCGATCCCCTCCCGCATGGCGACGTGGACGCCCGACTTCTACTCCGCTCCGGGGCATGGGCCGACAACTCCTGGTCCGAGCTTCGGTCGTCATAGGCGAGGCGGCGCGCCACGAGGCTTTTAGAAGCTGTCGGATGTGGCACTGCCAGGAGTGTGAACCCGGGCGCCGACCCCGGTTTAAGCGGGCATCGTGTCTGGCCGGGCGCAGTTTCGTGCTATGACCAAAAGACGACTGTGCTTGTTTACTAATGCACGAAATCTGTGCACGAACAAGCACCAGCGATCGAGCCCCGAAATTTTCGGGTCGACGGCCTTTTCGACCTCCCGCCCCGCCACTTTTTCTTTTTTCATGAACATTCATACTGGTCGGCACTCACACAACCCGGGGGTCGCCAGTGGGAGGGGGCGCAGAAATGTGGACCGGCGACCCCGTTTTGAGGGTGTCCGGCCGGGAGCAGCTTCGCGCTATAATGGAAAAAAACACAATGCCCGTAGCTTTTGGCTATCACATCGTTAGCAGACTGCTCGTTCTGCGACGGGACGCCCCACAAGCATCCCTGTCGTTTGTTCCCAAAATTATCCATCCCAGGTTTTCTGGTGCCCGGAAATGCAGACTGAGAGTATGGGCTTGTTGCTGGGTATGCTATCCCGTCGATCCACGACCGTTGATGTGGTGTATGAGTACAAAGTGTTTATGCGTCCGTATGTGTTCTTCCACCAAGTATCAAACGGAATTGAAGATGTGACAAACAAGCTGTGCTGTTCGCTGGATTGTTTGTGCGCTGCCGGATTGTCGTTCGGGCATCGCAGGAAGACGCAAGGCATCAACGCCATCGGTGGTATTCTAAACAAGTCGCGGACACTGCTGGTCGCATGGGACAGAACCTATTTTTCTAGGCTTTGGTGCAGCTTCGAGCTGGCCGCGTTCTACCACTCGAAGCTGTACGATTCGAAAGCAGCAGGAAAGGTTGTCCTATTGCCAATCATCTTGGGAAAGGTGATTTCGGAGATTGCGGCCTGTACCTGGGCGTTGGAGTTGCTGCGCATTCACATGCCGTTCAATGCCGGTTTGCGGTCTGCAGCGCTTCTGCTTGCCTCTTGGTTGGGTTTCGTCCACAAGTCATCCAGATACTTGCTTGTTTTGAAATATGTTCAAACCATGTGATGGATGAAGCTGAGGTAAGCTTGGCTTTTGCGACACGGTTCTATGATTTTCTCATAGAAAGCAATGGATTAAAGGCGGAGCTCGCCGAATTCTCTGCGCAGAATGCGCAATGCTTTTGTTGTAGTAATCGGCATTTGAATCCAATTACAGGGGAGAAGTTGTCTTGTGACCGAGCGCTGGTCAATGCATCCATCGCACATTGGCAGCTCGGCTGTGCATGCTGCCTCAGTTGTTGGCTAAGTGTTACTCCGTTTCATCAACCAGTTTGGTCGTATGTCCGATGTCTTTGACCACCAAGCGGTCTTTTAGGGGTTCGGGAAACGGATTGCAGGCATGACGGAGAAAGTTTTTTGTTCATGGTTTCCAAGGTATGGTGACGATGATGTGACGGAAGGTTTAGCCACCTTCAACGATGCTTGGCAGATCAGGCATCTGGCCAAACAGACAGATTGTGGGACAGCCTTGTGTGAGCATCAAAGGAGTTGATCCGTGGACGCTTCAGAGAAGAAGTTGGGGAAGCCGTAAGAGGGGCACGGATGCCGTTCCACTTTGTTCTCGTGGCTTCTGTCTGGCCTGCGATGCACCAGCTCGACTACATCACGATGGGCGAGGCAAAGGGAGTCGTGACACATGCAGTGAAGTCTTTGTTGTGAGTCTGCTACTGGCTTGTGCCGACCTTGGCTGCTGCTGTGGTAGTAGTAGCAGTAGAAGCAGTAGTAGCAGTAGTAGCAGTAGTAGCAGTAGTAGCAGTAGTAGCAGTAGTAGCAGTAGTAGCAGCAGTAGCAATAGTAGCAGTAGCAGTAGCACAGTAGTAGTA